ACAAAGGACATGTTGTCCACATGTCAAGAAAACAGCAGGACGTTCCTCACAGTGCGGCATCATGCAGTTCTGCTAGCGTCCTTGCTCACAAAAGGGACAGCGAATGTCTGGGTGATAGGGATGTGTACAATGAGGAAATGTTGGGCACCCTTCGGCACAGACGGTAGCGGCTGCCATAGTTTGATAATGGTGATGGCATAGATGATGAATGCCACAACCAAGACGCACCGCGTCCCTGCCCCGACAGGTGTCACACGAGAGTCGGTCAATAATCCAGAAAATATATGTGACGATATGTATATTATATATTTGACGATATATATATATAATATTTAATTTATAAAAAAATCGTTATGCATGCACGTGTCTCTGCGTAGTCAGAATAACGCGCACGTTCCCCGACGCGTTTTTTTTTTTTTTTTTTCCCCAACGCATTTCGAGCGGCTGCGCTCCGGTCATTCTCAGAGGAGGAAGAGAGAGAAGGAAGGAGAGTAGGAGGAAAGAAGAGGAGGAGGAGGAGGAAGCAGAAAACGGCCCTCCGAGCATTCCTCGTCAGAACGTCTTCTTTTCTTTTCTTTTTTAATGAAAACTTTACTTTTTTCTTTTTTTTTTTTAATACGCTGTCGGTTCTTTTTGCCTTTTCTTACGAACAACGCTTTCGGTTTTTTTTTTTTTTTTTTTTTTTTTTTTACGAACGCCAACGCATTCGTTTTCTCTTTTTGCTGGGACGTACTTCTTATCGTTTTTTTTTTCCCCTTTTCTGACATTTATACGGCCTCTTAGGTCACAAACGGGCATGCGGCATAGGATATTCTGGATGTATCTGACCATGATTACCACCACATTCGGTCCGAAAAGTCCTACCCAATGTAAAACTATGGCCTCAAAGTCCGTCTTCCGCGAAGAAGGGTTTTGTCGTTCCGCGCGCCCTGAGCGGAGTGCCGCTAACCCACCACCATCTCCCCTCGAACAGAACGAACGCCCATTATAGCTGAACTTGAGGCACACCTTTTTTTTTTCTCCCCTTCCGCAGGTTTGACCCACTGAAACTTTGTTACGGCTTTTTTCTTTTAGCTCATCCACGACAACCACTACTATAAAATTATAAATATTATTAATTTAAGTAATTCACTATAATTTACTATAAAATTAGTAAAATTAGTATAAATATTGATTCACTATAAATATTAATTTATTTAAGTAATATTAATTAATTCACTTAGTAATATAATGTTACCGGATACTAATTACCTGTAAATTTGCTTCTTTCCTCTTCGGATCATAAGCATCATTTAGCTCATCAACGACAACCACTTGGTCTCCTCGCGACAAAAGAGCAGCTGCCACGTGGCTCCCTATGAAACCGGCACCACCAGTCACAAGCACGGTGTTTTTCGTTGACGTCTCCCGTTCTGCCGCATCCTTTCCCTCGGACTTGCAGGCTATGGCGCGCATTTTGCCGGCGGCGGCAATGGTTCTGCCTTTGGCGTCAAATTTCGTGACAGGTAAGCATGATGTCCCCGCCAAAACTGCGCCCATGATTCTGCATTTCGCGCCAAAACTGGCCGCAGCCGAGCATGTTCCCGCCACGCATTTTGACCCTCGAACAGATGAGAATGACCTTCCCACCATTTCTGCTCCTGCATACGAGCACGAGGAGGAAGAGCAGGAGGCGGCGGCGGAGGAGGAGGAGGAGGAGGAGGAGGAGGATGCCGACGATGCAGAAAGGTTATCCCAGCACTGCCGCTGTGCCATGGCACGGCTCGAACAGCCGATCTGACATTTGCGAGTTCTGGCAGACACGTCAGCATCCCGACAGAAACGCCAGCTCCGCTTTATCTTAACGGGATCGGGACAGCTGGCAACCGCATCACACCTGCACCAACGAATCCAAGAGTTCCCTTTGAGAAAGAAAGGACAACAAGAAAATGCAAAATAGGAAAAGAAAAGACAAGTGCGGCACATTTTTATATGCGATATCAAAACATTAAAAAATATAAAACAACATAAGCTGGTATGGAAGTTGAGTTCAGTCTGTCTTTCCAGCCCGCGCCAGGTGTTAGGAGCTTGGGTGCTGCTCCCCCCCCAGAGCAGAGTTAGGTAGGCGTAGACCCTTGACCGTAGGATTGCTCAAGTATTTGTTAGCAGATTATTACTGTATTAACTTAGGCTGTTCTTCTGACTGATGTGGGCAGAACCTTCACTCAAAAAGTACTCAGGGGAGGTAGTGTGTTCAGCTTTTTTTTTTTTTTTTTTTTTTTTTTAATTTGGACCATTTCTCGATTTATGCGTGTCATCCTTGCGCAGGGGCCATGCTAATCTTCTCTGAATCGTTCCAATTTTAACGGATGTCCCGAAGGACATGTTCAGCTTTTTCGAGTGGAAAAAAAAAATAAAAAAAAATTCATTCGTGATGAACATAGGGCTCATGTGGGCTCATATGTCACATTGGTTTTTAAATGCACATATAGTACCTGTTAGCTAGAACTATTCATTATATATCGTCAAATAGAACTGCCCGGTAAACCGTAGGCAGAGAGGGAGAAGAGGACAACAAACGAGGGGCTGTGACAAACTGTTTCGTCGGAGTTTCACCGACTCATCAGGAGGTATATATATATAAATGCCAAGATAGCATTTCAACCTTCAAAAAAAAAAAAAAAAAAAAAAAAAAAAAGGCAGCATTTGCCTTTAAAAATAGACACAAATTTATTTAAAAAAAGAAAACGAAAAGCGAACCCTGGAAAATGCTGCGGATAGTTACAATCCGGAACGCTGGAAAACTGCCACGTGTACTTCTACTAAGCGACTATATCTTTATTTTATTTTATTTTATTTTGTTCTGGGTCACCAAACAGGCCGCAAGGGACACCTTGGGTGCCCGGGCGACCCGGCGGGGCAAGGGCCAGGGAAAGTCCTCGCTGCCAAAAAAAAAAAAAAAAAAAAAAAAAAACGGGAAAAAGTTCAAAAAACAGTGTCATGCAGAAAAATACACTGAACAACTTGTGCCTCAAGGTCACATCGAAGTTCATTACCAAATTAAAACCAAAAAAAAAAGTTTTTTTTTTTTTTTTTTTTTTTTTCAAGAGCGGGGCAGCCAGGCAAGTGGCCGAAAATAAGGTAGTCGGGGATGCCAGCTACCTCCTCTACCTTTCGATCATTCATATCCTGCGGGGGAGACTGACGTACCATAGCCAAGGCTATGGAACAGGAGCTTCGACAATCTATCTGTTTGAACTTTGGAGTTTTCGAGATTATTTTCACATATGATTGCCGCCCTCGTCGTCGCTATGTGTTTGAGCGTCTTGACAGCGTGCGCGATCTGAGCAGTGTACACGCACGTATGAAACGAAGTTACGCTATTGCGTGTGAAGAGCAAGTTGGCCATTGCTTACCTTCTTCTTGTCGGTCACGACTGACTCTACTAGTATTTTCTATCATCGATTCGGAAGTGGTCCCGGGCCACTCTGGTAGCCCCAGGGCAAGGCCCGATTTGCACGGATTATGCGATTATCGGCCGTAGATAACGAAGATCAACGACCAGAATCTCTTCTCATGCAAATGAAGACTGAGAAGAATTAATAGGTCACTACCATATTTCGAATTTTATTTCTAAAAATAGCATTTCGGACATGCCACGTGTTCAGTTCCCTATTTCATTCGAATTCGAATATAACTTTAATACTCTTTTGTCTCCATGACTGCCGTTTTCGTTTGCGATACCGATTTCGCATTCTCCGTTTGCGACCGTTAATTATGAAGATCGATGCCCGGAAACGAAGAATGCAGTTAAGTGAGGCCCCCCGTTTGCGACCGTTCATTGCAAATATTCCCTTTAGTTGTACGGGGAAAAATAGTGAATAGTGAAAACAAAAAAGAAGTGCAGTTTGAAAAAAAAAAAAAAAAAGAAGAAGAAGAAGAAGAAGAAGAAGAAGTGCAGTTTGCGACCGTTAATTACGATGATCGATCCCTGGAGGCGAAGAATGCAGGTAAGTGTCCTTCGGGACATCCGTTGAAAATTAGAACGAAGCAAAAAAAAAAAAAAAAAAAAAA